GATCTGACCAAAGTTATCATGTTAGTCCGTTGTCGCTTCATTCAGAAGAATGCCTCTGTTCCGATTGCAGACTTACATTCAGTGATTCTGTCAGCCATGTTGGGCTTTATAACAACATTAAGACGTGTAGTGGACATTTGAGAAAATGACTTCTACCCGCAGAAGTTCAAAATTCCAGAGCCTTGGCGCTTAGTTAACGTCAATCCAACTATATCGAATTAGAACCTTGCGGAGTCATCAAATGGTTCTTGCTTTTTCTCTTTGACTCAAAAGGACTTAAAAGGATCAACTGCCGACTTGGATCTTCGTCATCTTTCCGTAGATCTGCATCCGTCGCCGTGGTGATTCGCCCGCAGATGGCAAAACAGATCAAGCAGTTCTAACCGACGAGTCTGCGTTGGTTTTCCAACAGCCTACATGGATGTTGGCAATTCGGGCAACAACCGAGGAACAATGAGTAACGGCGATAGCATCAATAAGACTAGTGCACATGGTACGGGGTGTTCCCCATAGTCAGCAGTCTTCCTCTTTTCTCACTGGGACAAGCAACGGCAGAGATGTGGAATTACGTTCGGTGGGGTGCTCCATGTGGTTAAAGCCATATTTTGTATGACGCATTAATGCCATGAAAAGCGTACGAATGACAGAGGCAACTTTGTTCTAGACTATATAAATAATATGAAGGCGATCGATGCATGCACAATGAGAGATGGGATCATGACTTGAAAGGAATCTTCGAGGATTAATTGTAGACCATTAAGATTATAGTAAGGGGTAATCAGTAAACCCCGCTATGCGATTCCAAACTGTGGTTGTTATCTGCTGCCAACAACGGAAACTCAAAGTTCCGATCAGAGAGGGTCGAGAACGAGGAAATGCATGTTTTGAAGAGTACAGACCGAAGTCTGCTGCATAACTAATTTAATCCTGTTGTTCACCAAATTGAAGTGTGTAAAGAAACGGAAGGAAGACCTCTTTCAGTATATCAGTACTAAACTCGAGGAAAGAATCACTGGCGTTCATTGATATCGATGGCACCAAAAATGAAGTTAATCGATAACGCACAAATGATATTCCTGAATAACTGACAAATAATTTAGGTAACCTTTTCAACATTTTGGCATCTGGTCAGAAAAGGGAAAAACTACCTTTCTCATGCATGTAGAAACATGCCCAAACAGAGTACTTTTTGGTTGGATGTGAAGTACCGAGCTACAGACCTATAACAGATCTGTGACGAGGAAATAGCTTTCAGAGGTGGCAATGTGAAAGAACACACCGATGATTGCGAAGAAGGTTTAACGAAGGAAATACCTTTGAAATAACAAGTTATGCTGATTACTTAATTAGACAAAGAATTAGGGTAAAAAGTGTAGCATTGTTGTAGCATTGTCTGCAAATGATCGATTACATCGAACTTTTCATGATTATTAGTTAAACTGACGCAAGCACAAGACTGCCACTTAAAATAGCGCAGGGGGGAGGCCATCACAAGGACATTCGAAAGATGATACTGAAACAAGAATTAAACATCATATCGATCTTGCGATTACCATCAACGATGAGTAGGTAAACTGAAACTGAAGTGATTCTAAACTGAAAAATGAAATGATCCATTACACCTTGTCGATCAGTCAATCAAGAACTTAATGCATAAACTTGCGTAGATAGCCAAACTAACAGCAACTGACATTTCAGTGATCTCCGACTCATTCGAACAGCATATAACACACATAAAAAGAACGGAAAGACAAACAGATGAATAAACGATGATAAAAAGAAAACAGATTTATGGATAGGAAGTCAATGCAGATGAATATCTAAGAGTATCAGTTAACAGCAGAGAGTAAGTCAAGCCTTTTAGCGAGCATCATGCCACAGATTTTCTCTACGTTACAGTCACTGCATGGATGCTGACATATTTGTACACTGTGGAATGAGGCATCGAATTAGAATCTGGTGGATGGAACAAGAGAGAATCGGTTAGAGAACATCTGCACCAGGATTTATAATAGATCTTATGATGCGATCTACTGCCACGTTTACATCATTTACTTACAGTATCTGACTTGGTCTGCAGACAATTTTCACAACTGATGGAAATCTGTACTGACCTTTGGTCAGCTATTACGCCCTGTCCAATATGAATTCAAGTCGTACGATGCATATATTAGCATCGGCGATTTGCATCGCAAAATGTGCTGTGCGTCTTCACATCCATGCCTAAGCCCTGCTGTCCCCTGATACTCATAGATCAGCGTCGTGTTACCTGTTTATCGACTGGCTGCACCGAACCAAGTGCGTGAAATTCAATGGCTGCTGATAATTAACGGCGTTACGAAGAAAAAATTTACGTCGCGCTTGGGTTTGAGGCCAACACCTCTATACGTATTACCGCGCATGGCAACCTACTGCAGTGATAAGAAATCTTCCAGGCAGGTTTTAAACCGCTTTCTCATCGATTAATTATCGAAAGTGACACATCAGCTGCTGCTGACGAATAAGCCGCGCTAAAGTAGGACAGCAAATGATACAAAACAATGGCCAGTAACGGATGCTGCTTTATACGAAAGCGTGATGAAGATACAGGTAGTTAAAAGGCATCGTAAAATCCACATTGGGATTACACCCTGTGACGATTATTACACTCGACAGTCAGCTATGAGGAAGATCATGAAGAAATGCAGCCATAACGGTTGCTCGTATTGGACAGCATGGCAGAAAACCTCTTTTAATCTGACATGACCAAAATAGAATACGATGATGCCCCTATTGATCGCCAG